GTTTTCTTTTTTATTCTTCTCCCAGATTTCCTTCCTCTGAAATGCGACGCGTGTGGGGAAGTCTTCTGTAAAGATCACATCCGTTACGATGACCACAAGTGCAGCTGTGCCTACAAGAAAGTGAGTTCTGTATGATGTGAGTCATAATTCTCCCTGCAGAATTGCTAAGTCATTTATAAGGGCTGCTCTGAAACTTCACCTGTACTTTCAATAAAAGTGGATAGGAGAACCTCAAGATGCAAGTTAATGATGCATCTGGATTTCTGATATATAAAAACATGACATTTCACAGGTCGGAACTGCTAGATTCCAGTTTTTTTCACTTACAGTGCATCTTCCCAGAGAGGAGTGCTTTATATTTCAAGTAATGTATTGTGGTCTAAAATTTTCTGGGGTCCAAGTCCTGTAAGTTGAAGAACAACAAACATGAAACTACAGAAGAAATAAACAGAACAAGTGGGTCCATACTTTGATCTCTGGCCTGTACTTGGGCTTTGAAGTATTCAAGGGCTGTAATTCCAGAAAAGCCAAAAGGATATTTAAAGTCAACTTACTAAATACATTGCTGCAATTGGTTTGGCAAAGCATTTCTCTGTGGTTTTTGGATGGGGATTTGTAGTTACTGTTGTGAAGTGTATCTTTAAAAGCATTAGCAAATGGGAACATTTAGGAATATATTTCTATTATCTATGGGTAAGAGAAGGGGAAGAACATAAAAATAGTGTTGGACTTGTAATGGTTGGACTTGATTATCTTAAAGGTCTATTTCAATCTAAACAGTTCTTTAATTCTGTGATGCTGATCTGTGCTGTGTGTTCTCAGAATGTGCAGGTGCCAGTGTGTCCCCTCTGTAACACACCTATCCCAGTGCAGAAGGGAGAAATCCCAGATATTGTGGTTGGAGCCCACATAGATAAGGACTGCAAATACAACCCAGCACAGCAGAAGCAGAAGGTAAGAAAACTGCTGCTGAAGTCTAAGCTGCCTTCCTGTGCCTTCAGCTTGGTCATGGCTCACAGAAAGCCAACATTGCCAACTTCCTGTCCTCTCTTACTCAGATCTTCACAAACAAATGCACAAAGCCAGGCTGCAAAAGGAAAGAGATGATGAAGGTGGTTTGTGAACAGTGTGGTGGCAGCTTCTGCATAAAACATCGGCATCCTCTGGATCATGACTGCAGAGGGAGCAGCCAGCCCATCTCCAAGGCAGGGTGAGCTGGACTTGGGATACTTCAGCTCAAGATGAGAGCTCAAGGCTTGGTGGGGAGCTTGGACAGACAGGGAGTTCTGGAAACTACTGGTCATGTCAATAAAATAGCCATGATTTCCTCTTGTGTCTCAGGCTGAATTTCTGACATGCCAGCCTTAATTTCTGAGCCAAGATAAAAAGCTTGTCAAATGTTTTCCTGGATTTTCAAGCTTACCTGTGTCAGTCTCTCCTAATTGAGAATAGGCACTGGCCAACTCAGGTGCCCTTTGGGGTCTAGGTCCACATAGTGGAATCCTAAAGCTATGTCCAGCACCTTGAAGTAACCAAGAATAATCAATACCCTGACAAGCCAAGTTTGAACTTAATAAAAAAATCTGTCTTTTGCAGGCAGACATCCCCTGACTGTTCTGTGCAGTAGGACTGTGAGATTTGTGTGACAGATGCAGATGATTAAACTGGATGGAAGAGTGAAAATACAGAGTGCAGATGCTGAGCCTGGTTGTGTTTGTTTGTAGATATGCAGCTCTGATGAGAGCATCTCACCCCACCTTCAACTCCCCGGGAGCAATTGGAGTGCCATCTAATGGGAATCGTCAGCACAACAGGTATCAGGAGAAAAGACAAACTAAAACCAGGCTGGTGTCCACACGGTGTGGCAGTGCCACTGTCACACCTCTGACTGCTCTAGAGCTGGTGGCTGATCTGTAAATGGTGTCGGGAGTGCAGCAGAGGGGCTCTGACAGCACAGGTGAATCCCTGCTTCTCTATAGTGGAGTGATTAACATGGCCTCATAGACACGAGAATTAGGACATGAAATTGTGTCTGCAGGCTGGTCTCCCACCTGTTCAGTGGGAGGTTTGGCCAAGTTCTGGGAAAACGGTGTGTCATCAGAGTGAGGAAAGCACAGCAAGCACCTGAATTAAAATAAATGGGCCAAGCCCTTCCCTGGCGTGTTGTAGCTCATGTGACTGAAAGTTCCAGTTGTGCAACCCTTACAGTGCATTCTTATGTCTTACAGGTGCAGATAGTAGAGGCTCTTCACATCTGGATCAAACCTTTAAAATCAAGTTAATATTTTTTCTCTCTTTAAATTTCTGTGCAATTAACTTATTTTTGTGTCATAATTTTGTATGCATTCAATAAACCGTTACCCTTTCCAAGCCAATGTTATTTGTTCCTATATTTTGAATAAGAACTTTAATATTATGAAAAATATTTGATGTAGGAAGTGAGATGATGGTGGTAGGTAGAAGATTACAGTTGGTATGAAATACAGGTAGATTTGCTTAGGTCATGCCAAGCCTGAACTAAGAATCTCCCAAAATGAAAATGTGAAATACAAACTACTATCATATGTCTCAATCCTTTTGGAAGTGCTCTGGCTCTGCATGACAAACAACATCCATGTGGAGCTTCCTCTTGGTTTCTGAATGTCATTGGAAGACCTTTATTTATAAAGCCACACCATCTTTTTTACAGGTGCTTTTTCAGGTCCTGTCTGAAGGCTGGTGCTCACAGAGGCACGTGCAGTATAATTCTTCATCATTTATTGTCCCTTAGACAGAAATCTAGATTTGCAGGAATATATTTTGTGGTTTCAGGGTGAAAAGGAAGCCAGAGAAAGTAGCATTAACTGTGTCTTGTGTAATGAGAATAAGGCCAATGAGAATACAGCATTGTTTAGGGAGGCTGCTCTTGCTGTCTTCCTGAAAAGCTTAAACAAGTGAAGTCATGGTAGATAATGCTCCATCTATTATCCTGACCAGCTCTCTTGGCTCTTTAAAACTGCATGAGCATCCAGCTGCTTAGCTTGAGGCCTGAAATATTATAGGTTGATGAAATGGAAATGTGCTGTTAATGAACAATGCTAATTCCCCAGATGGGATCTAAGTAGACCTCTCATCCAGCTAATTGTGAGAAAAATGCCAGGGCTTTCTGATGGTGTCAGGGGGTCAAGACCTCAATTTCATGTGTCATTGGAGCCATTCCTCTGCATGCTGGGGCTTCTGGGCTGCAGTGTTGGCTTAGGACTACCTGGAGGGAAATTGCAGCTCCTGCAGTGCCGCTGAGGAGGGAGGAGAAGCACTGTGCAGAGCAGTGCTGAGTTCCCTGACCTGGGAAAAACCATCTTTGCTGACACTCTAAGAGATGGGAGTGCAGTTAGTGCATGTGCTTTGTACATCCTCGGGGGTGCTGCAGGTGTGCAAAGACTCTTGTGTCTTTTTGAACAGTTTAATCCTTGGAGTGGGAATGCTGCCTGAGGAGGAAGTGTGGAGTTAGGATCCTTCACAGGGACAGCACGTAAACAATCAACACCTGGAGTCACAGGCCTTTCCTGAGAAAGGACAGATGTCATTTCTGTCCAGCACAGAACAAGTATCTGTGCTATCCCACATTAATGTTCGGCCCAGTGTGATTTCTCATCCTGGAGAAGTTTTTGGAGAAGTTCACAGCTAGCTGGCCAAACTGAACGTGTAAAATAGACACGAGTTACACTGATCACTCCACATAATCTAATTTTTTACAATCCTGCAGCCAAGACTGATTTGACAGTATCTGTAATACTGTGTTTAACCACAGGATGTCACAATAGGATATGCAATAACACAATCTATTTTAGGAACTCTATAAACATAGAAAATATTTTTTGCCTAGTCATATTGGAGCAAAAGCTCAAATTACAGCCTTAGTTTTAGGTACCACCACCCTGTGATTATCCGTGTGCCAACACCCTAACTCAGCCCGAGCACGCTGCTGTATCTTACATACATTTTATGTTTTTTGTGTAAAATTTCTAACCAGCACCCATTCCCAAAGGATGCCATGCACCCCAGCGGTGCTTTGGGAAGGGGATTCCAGGTTCTGACCGTGGTGTGAGGACAAGTTCAGGGGACAGAGGCTCTCCCAGCCCAGCAGGGATGCCTGGGGGCAGGAGGGCACCTCGCTGTGGGGAGGAGGAAAACAGAGGTTGTCCCTTCCCATCAGTGCCTGAAACGGGACAGGGATGTGTTTGCCAGCAGCATCTGCTCCCACATCCAGCATCTCAGGGATGCTGGGCTCCAAGCAAAGGGAAACAACAGCCCTGTCTCAGGCTGTCCTGAAAAAGAATGTGTCATCGACGTGTGTGTACGTGGTAAAGATTCTGGCCTTTAAATTACCAAGGGGATTTGGAAAAGTTTGTGCATGGGGTATTTATAGAAAAATGGAAACATGGAAATCAATTTGTTTCCTGGAAATTGTCCTCGGAGGTGTTTTCTCCATCTGTCAAACCACACCCTTGTCCTCTTCCCACGCATTCCACCGGACCCCATCGGGACACGGGCACTGCTATCTCACACTGCAGGATCTTTAGGATCTGGAGCCTTTAGGATCTGGGGCTCAAAGGGACCGGAGCCGTTCTGCAGAGAGCCACACCTGAGTGTCCGCAGCGGCCCCCGGGCCCGCCTGCTGTCACCGGCAGCACTCGGGAGCGCCGGGCTGGCTCCCACCGGCCGTCCTGCAGGGCGGGGAGGGGCTGCCAGGCCCGGGCATCCCTGCCAGGATTTAGGGGGTCCCCTGCCAGGCCCGGGCATCCCCGCCAGGATTTAGGGGGTCCCCTGCCAGGCCCGGGCATCCCTGCCAGGATTCGGGGGCTCCCCTGACACGGCTTGAGGGTCCCTGTCAGGATTTGAGGGGCTCCCTGCCAGGGCTTGGGGGTCCCTGTCAGGATTTGAGGGGATCCCTGCCAGGGCTTGGGGGTCCCTGTCAGGATGCGGGGGATCCCCGCCAGGCCCTGAGGGGTCCCAGGCAGGGCGCGGGCGGGTCCCTGTCAGGATACGGTTGGACCCCTGCCAGGCCCTGAGGGGTCCCAGCAGGATGAGGGGTGAGTCCCAGTAGGGCACAGTTGGGCCCCTGCCAGGATGCGGGCGGATCCCGGCCAGGCCCGCTCCCGATTTCGGGAATCCCCCAGGCTAAAGGGCGGGGCCTCAGGGGGAGCTCGGCGCGGGAAGGTGACGTCACCCGCGCCGCCAGAAGCCGGCGGATCGCTCCGCAGCACACGTGTTCCCGATGGGCACTTTAACTCCGAGCGGGGCTTCCTATTGGCCATCGCAGTGATTGACAGACAGACAGCCAACCAGATGCCGCCATTCTTCCCGCATAGCCAATGAGCGGCAGGGGGCGGGCGGCGGCGCCAAGCGTGGGGCTCAGTTGAATGTGCCGGGGCGGCGGCTGCGGGAGGTGCGTGTGGGGCGGGCGGGGGGCGCAGCCCTGGCTCCCCCCGGGGCGGCGGCGGCTCCTCCGGGGATCCCCCTGCCCGCACGGAGCTGCGGGAGGGGCGGGGAGGCTCGGCCCGGCCTGGCCACATGCGCGGCGGGGTGGCTGAGGGGGCTACGGCGTGCCGGGGGGTTTGTGGTGGGATGTGAGGGGGGGTTTGTGGTGGGATGTGAACCGGATTTTATGTTGGGAAGCGAATCCGGGCTGGGGAGCGGGGCCGGGGCCCTGTGCAGGGGCTGGCTGTGGGCTGGGTGCCCTCCCGGGCTGTGCCTCACACGTGCCAGGCCTGGCTCCGCTGTCCCGGAGCTGCCAAACCTCTCCTTCGGCAGCTCCTGTTCCATCGGGAACCTCCCGACCTGGGTTGTGTTGTATTTCAGTGTGTGTTTCAAGGTAAATGTTTGTGGTTGAGCCACTATTTGCCTGTGTGGTGAAACTGACGCTGAAACTGACGCTGGAAGTGACAGTGTTGGGGCAGCTGGGGAAAGCCGCTTAAATCAGGTGTTCTGGCAAAGAAATAGTGCAGAATTACAACTTGATCTGCTCTCACACCCAGCTGCAGTGTTGTCTGCAACTCCTGCTCGTGTTCACCCTTATTTCAGTCTAAAATTAACGATAGAGCTAGTGAGACAACTATCAAGCATAGCTTTACCACGTTAACCTATATGAAAATAGAAAAACTTGCAGTTTAAGCAGAACTAATGGTTTAAAACTGCTTAGTAATCAAATGGCCTTACATTTTGCTTGTGAGTGCAGACATGTGCATATTAGTGGGATGGCAACAGTCATGTGAGTGTGTTCTGGGATGATGGGGTGTTATCTGAGGTGGGCAGTTGATCAGACAGTTCACTGTGGTGTGCTCTAACCTGCAGAAAGCACAGCCTAAGTTATGGGGAATTCCTACCAGGAATATCACTGAGGCATTTTCCACAACAGGGCCTCAGAGGACTAAAGGTGTGGACATTCCTACAGGGGATTGGTATTTGAGTTTTACAGTACTTTAAGTACAATGTATTCCGAAAGGAAACACGAAAATTCTCCAAAATGAATCAAATTTCAGTGCAGACATACATTTCATAGTAGGGAGTCACAAGTAATTACCATACCAGTGCACTTATAGTACTATAACTGTCTGTATATGAGACTGATATTTAATATGAAAAAAGGTTCTAGCTGCAGTTTGGTGATTTCTGTTACAGAACAGCATTTTAGAATGCCAAAAATGGTTGTGGAAAAAAAAGAAAAGAAGGCAGAAAAAAGAAAAAAGCTGAAGGAAGACATGGCCCAAAAGGATGAGCTGGAATTGGAAACCAAACCGAAGAAAAAGAAGAAGCAAAAGCTGCAGGTTTGGCTCTTTAATTCAATACAAAATGGATTTGTTGTTGCTGTAGGTTCTGTTGTGTACATGAGCTGGATTTAGTTGCAGTGGTTCCTTGGATGCAGTATATTTAGAGTGAAAGCTAAAAGGAAATGATAAATTAAGCCAGATCTGGGTGCAATCATAGCAGGCAGAGAGGTGATCTCTGTTTTGGATGTTTTCTGTGAAAAACAGAGACTGGATGTGGGTGAGAGGTGAACCAAGTGAGGAGCTGTCATATGGTAATCCCGGTGCAGCTTCAGTCTTCATGTGATCCTGAGTGCCTGGGAAAACATGAAAGATGTTTTCTTGGAAGTTCTCCTCGTTTTTGGACAGAATGTCAAGTGGCCAGAAGGTGTCAGCAGTCTCTTTGTATTCCTGAACGTTTTATGGATTATTTTATGAGAATAAAATTAACAATCTCCATATGTTACTTAAGTAGGAACTTGGAGCTGTAAGGTTTTTTTTGGTGGTGGAAATGATGCATAATTCAAGGACAATTCAGTTCTGATAGTGTTACTGTGGAATGAGGATCAAAGAACTGTAAAGCAATTCAAGAAGTAGAGAGAGAAAGCAGGTTTTTTCCCTCAGGAATTCTTGAAGATCACCTCAAGAAGCCACTGTCTCAATTCTCTTACGTTTCGTGGCCTAACATAAAATATATGTGAAAGCTGCTTGTTACTTCCTTTATCATGACATGTGCAGTTCAATGGAGCTCATATAACTAAAAATTACTACTTATTTTGTTACTAGATTATTATTTTATTTAAGCTCATTGGCAAGAACATATTTGAAGATCTCTTGCATTCATAAGTGTCTCTAAGTATTGCATTTAGAGCTTGGGAAGCTTAATATTAAAAAGCCAACCTATTGGCAGAAGCTATTCAGAGGACTGTGCAGTTTTGAGCTCAGCAGAAATGTTCCTAAGTAAGAAAAGACTGCATCTTTGTCAAAGCAAAAACAGGAAATTTTGTCCTTCTAGCTTCATAAGAGGGAATGTTTCTTGTTTCCTTTCTGTTACAGACTGTGGATTTGTCGTGCTATAATTGAGTGAAAATAATTTTCCAGGACGAAATAGTGTGAAATTGAAATGTCAAAATGAAAATGTTATTGCCTGTGACAATCTATAATTTCACGTAAAACTGCCAAATAGTCGGGGTGGGCTTCAAGCTCCTGGCTAGTGGGGCCTTTTTGGGCCATCTGGTGTCCAGTGTTCAGTTCTTAGAACACCCAGATGAGTTTTGAGGACTGTGCAGACTGTAGAACTGTGCAAGAAGGAGCAAAGAGTAATGGAAAGAAGAATCCTTAATACTGTTAGGGAGCACCTCTAAGCACAACAGTTCTTGGAATCATAAAAGTTGATGCCAGTGGGTGGCTTGAACATGTATATAGTGAGTTTTAGGGAATGCCATAAAAGGTCTATGACAAGCCACTTCTTGGCACCAGCTTTATAAACTGTAACTGTTGATAGAGGAAAGTCTAAGTTAATAGACCGCTTCTTTTTATTTTTAATTTATTTTTGAAATAACTGTTGAGAATGAAAAATGTGAGGCAGATTTTAAACAATTTTACTTCAGAAGTGGCTAAAAAAGTTAATTGCTTGGCAGTTTGGTTGTTGCTCAGAGTAAGTTCTCCCAGCTTTGTGTGAAGTGCTTGGTTAAGGCACACTGGCATTTATGCTCTAAAGTGCTTTTGGTCATCAAACCTTGTCAGCATGGAAGGTGTAACAGAGAACAAGGTAAAACAGCTCTGTGTGAACAGGAAGATCAGAGGAGCTCTGGGGCTGTGCTCAATCAGTGAATGGTTCCAAGTAAGAAATTTGGAACAAATGTTAAGCAACTGCTGAGGTTTATTCTGCATCTTTACTTTCCTTAAATTGATTTCTGTTACTTTAAAATGAGCTGAAATTTTGCTAGATCTACAGGAGTTCCTGACTCATGGTGCCTGGATTCTGATGAGCTGTGATTGGTTTTTAATGCAGCAACTGAATTAAAGGAAACTCTTCCTGATATTCTAAAGTAAGGATGGGTAGGCTCCAGTTTTTCCTAAAGAGTCTCATGTGTGGCAGAAAGAAGTCAGAGTTTTTGGTGGGACAGAGGTTTCACTGGTTCATTAAGTCATGTTTCTGTGATTTACTTTTTTTTTTTTTTTTTTCAATTCTAGTACAGCAAATTTAATCTCCAAAGTGGGAAATACAAATGTCTGATTGATTTTGTTATGGAGCTGGAGGCAAGTTGAGGTGTGTTTTCAGTGACTGGATTTAGTGTACACTGATCATTCCTTCAAGAAATTTATTTCAAAAATTCTTGCCAGCCTTAGACTAAGGCATTTTTCCTTGGAACAGCTTGACCTTTCAGAGTAATCTTGATGTTTTATTGATTTTCATCTACTCAATTTCTTCTGTTTACACTAAATAGTAATAAGCAATTCAAGACCAATATGAATGTTTTCGTGAGTGATCTTAGAACCACACAGCTGTAAATAAGACATCTCTAGGGGAGCTGAGTTTTGAAGTTTAAATAAGTTTAAAAATATAATTCAGCCTTTCAGGTTTTTCTGACTGATTCTCCTAATGTTACTGTTCTGTTTGCCTTAAAATAATCACACATATTAAACAGATTTTTTTTAATCACTATACGTTAGTTTTACACTTTTTATAATGACTTTTATAGTTTGCTAACATACTTATATATTGAACTATCAGAATGTTTAAGTTTTTCCTTTCAAACTGTAACATGGGTATGAAGCAAAGAGATTTAAAATGTGCCATCTAGGCTGGTGGTTTGAAGCTGACTATTGGCTTCTTAGGTAACAACTGCCTGATGGATCTTTTCTGACGAGTTAGTTTTGTTTCAGTTCTCTCAAAAAAAAAATAAAAATTGCAGTATTGTTAACGTGTCAGCTTGAAATAACAGAACCCCTAGAAGTGTTTCTTTGCAATTACCCCTGTTCTGCTTCTGATTTTGGATTTCTCCGGCCTCCAAACTTTCAGCTGCCTCAATGGCACAAAGCCTTCTGGAGCAGCAGTCCTGCCAGTTGCAGCTCTGTAGGTAAGGAACAACGTGTGGCTGCGTTGTTTCCCAGGGCAGTTTGAGTTCTGCCCAGAACGACCTTACTGTGTCAAAGGATCTTGTAATTTAGGGGCAGCTCTCGTTGCTGCAGTGCTCTTTGCAGAGCTGCTGCCTTTCTGCAGAACTGTAGGAAATTCTTTCAGAACAGAACATCTATTAGGCAAGATTCAAAATTCATAATCCATAGAAAACAATATTAATTTCCTGTTCCTTCCCAATTTAGTCTAGTGAACATTGTAATTTCAAGGAAAATGACAATGACTAAGGGAAGATCAATCTTTATAAATCAAATCCCCTTGTTCATGGCTGAGGGGTACTTTAGGTAATGCTCATACAGCCAGTGGGTGTTTCCTTGGACTTCCTTGTTATCTCCAGCATTGCAAGTGGTTGGAGGAGGAGGAATCAACATTTTCCTCAGATAAGGGCAGGATCAGTGGGAAAGGAATTTAATTTCTGAGATTCCATACAGATACTACAAACAATGGCAAATAAACAAGTAGCTCATAATGTTTCTTTCATCAAAGTGTGCAGGTGCCCAAACAGTAAGATCTGTTTACTAAATGGAAAAAGGCAAAATTTGTAAAGAAAGGGGTTTTTTGTTTGGCTTTTTGGAGGTTATCATAAAGAGCAAATAGAATTGTTAAGCTACAAAGCAAACCACAAAAAAAAATCTTTAAAATCACTGTTTGGTTGGAAAACCCTGTAAAATTATGTTTAAGCTGTGGAGATAAACATTTTGGGCATGAGCTCGGTGGAATAACTGGGAATGCTACTTTGATATGATCTCTAATGCTGCTTGTAATCAGGTAACTGGGGTAGTAATTTGAATGTTTAATGAATGCAAACCAGACATTGGTGCAAACTGATCCAGCAGATACTGTAAAGCTATCATCAAACAGTGTATTTATTTGTTTGACAACCCACTAATTCATCCCAAAGCCTGTTCTTGAAATAATGAGTTGTGGATGATTTGCAAACAAACTCAGTAATCCTTTATTGTTCCCTTAATTTATTTTTCTAATTAATGGGAAGCTTATATTGTAGCCATCAAAATAACTTGGTTTATATTTTCCCATCCTGAAAAAATGCCATGAACTTAATAACTTAGTGTGATGTTGCAGTATTTGCTTCTGATTACCAGGCTACCAATATTAACTATATTTTATATACATTAAAGTATATTTTGGAAAATGTTTGCATTGCAATTCTGTTGTCCACTCTTCCTGCACTTGTTTGGTTTTGCTGTACTTGCTTAATCCTCTGTTGTAAGCATTCATGTTATCTGAGGTTATTGATTTTTGTTCAAGGAATATGTAAAAATCTTAAAAGAAAAAAAAAGGAAACAAATTCCAAAAAGTTAATTTTATTTAGCCTAACATCCTAAAATAAGTAACTCGTCTCATACTGGGTTTTTTGGACCAATTTTAAAGTATCTTTAATATGCAAATAGAGTTTTGTCCGTGTTATGAAGAGAAGATGACATAATCTTTCATCTTCCCCCATCCCTCCATCTCCCCCTGTGCCTTGATGGAAAGATACATCAGCAGAAAGCAGTTTCCTGGAGATAAAGGGGGAATGGGAGCTGTTTCTCAAAATGGCCAAGTTAAATGTCAGGATGGATGTTATTGTGCTGGGTTTTGTCAGTCTATAATTAAAATGTTGGGCCTATTTCTCTTTGCTTTGGGCTACCTTTCAGTTGAATGTTTATTTTTGGGTTATTTGTTTGGGGTTTTTTTACTTGCACAAAGAGACAAGTTTGCTGGCCCACTGGCTCTCAGTGCCTCTCTGTATGGTGGCCTTCTGATAGTTTTAGGAAATAATTACAAAGCTCTAAATCCAAAAGCTAAATCTCAAAGCTTACTGTGTGACATCTTGCTAGGTTTATCTGCTTTCTTATCTATGCAATATTTCTCAAATTAGGAAAATTTAAAAAAAACAACCAACCACAAAACAACAAACTTTGAGGGCAGCTGGTTATGGGACTGAAACATTTGTTTCCTGCTAACACTTCTTCATCAGAATATTGGTAGAGTTGCTTCAAATTATTTTATTAAATTAACCATACATTTATTTATTTAAAAAAGGGGGTAAATTTAATTGTGACACCCATGTAGTGTTTATAGAGAATAGTAGGCCTTCTGTAAACAAACATGTCTAAGAAGGTACAGAATCATGTCTGAAATATGGATATGCATAGATTAGGCTGAATAATTTTACATTCCTTTGAAAATTATTTTTGTAATGGTACGAATAGATTTCCCAGGAAAGAGTATTCACAGCTGGGAAAACAGTTGCTACTTTGAAGATGGTTTTCCCAGGCAAAAGGCTCACGTCCCCAACTGTGTTTGGTATAAACAATATGTGGTGTATTTCTTACTTGTGTTTAAAGGAATTGTGCATTCTTCATTACATATTAGCCAACAAGAGTTTCTTGCTAATTCTGGGTATTTGCCTTAATCTGTATCCATTCAAAGTTAATTCCCTACTTTTATTAATAAAGCCAGGGTATTAAATTGGTGGGGAGTTTGGTGGTGAAACAGAACTGTCCCTTCTTTGCTGTTAAGAGGGGAAATTCTTCCTTCTCTGCTTGGAGCACGTACTTGCTGTTTCCTCTCAGCCCTCATTCTCTGCTTGCTGGTGAGAACCTTCCCTGATGGCTCCTGTTGGATTTCCAGTATAAATCCTTGCTTTCCTGCCTTAAATGCAGATACCTTGACAAAATTGAAATTCAGGACAGCATTCCCACTTGTGGGTTGAATTTGTTGAGTGTTCAGTTGTTGAAGAAGCAAAGGCAAGATCTGCTTGACTGTGTCACCCAGCTCCAGTCCAGTGGGAACACTGTTTTCTACCCTTTTCCAATGGTAATTTTATTCTGGTTCTGTATTGATGACTTCTAACTCCTCATAGAGAGAGACATCATCAATGAAAATTGCTGGAAAAGTCCCAAATTGTTAAATATAGAAAACTTGGCACAAAACCTCAAAATACATGTAACTTTAGTTAAAAAGAAGTCCTGTTAACATGTGTGAATTTGCAAAATGCATTCACTTGGCAATAAATTAACTTGTAAGCTTGACAGGATGTTTGCTGCATTCTGATACAGGATAAAGAGCAGAGAAATGGGCGTTCAAAGGCAATTATTCTTGACATGGCTTGAAACTTGGAAGTGTGTATAGCATAATGTATTAATGTAGGCCTGATTATTGTGGGTTTGTTGCTTCCTCTTTATTGCTCTTGCTACTGTTTTGTTAATGTTAATTGGCTCAAAAAACCTAAAATGGCACAGATTTGGATATTTAAATTTGCTTATTCTAAAAAGCAGCTCTGTCCTTGATGAAACGCTGCTGCTGGTTTAAACAATGTGGGAGTCTGGTATAATGATTTTTATAAAATATGACTTTTTGTTGATGAAATAGATTCAAAAATTTAAAAAAACCCAATGTTTTGGTGCAGATAAAAGGGGGGTGATGGTTGCTTCTGTAGTATGAATGAGAAATGAGAAGTTTTCTTACTCAAAATGCCTTCTGTGTTTAGATGCAGTATTGTGAACCACGTGGAAGATCAGTGTATATTTATGTATGTTAATAAATTACAGCATAGATAAAATGGCTCTTGGGTATTAGATCAAAGCCACACAGATTAATAAATACTTGGAAAATGCTTGTCTGTTACATCCAACAAGTAATTAGAACAGAAAATTAATCTTTTGACTTTTAGAACCTGCCTGAAATATCGAGGGTACAAGCATGAAGGTATTTGACAGGGGAACCAGACTCTGTCTTTGAATGCATTTACCTGTTTCTAATTGAATCCCACAGGAGTTCTGTAGGACATCAAACGGAAGATCATCAACCAGTGTTTTATTAAATTTCTCAGCATTATCTTAATAATTTGCATCTGTAAACCAGGCTATTGCAAATAGCACATACATAAGGGCAGACAGCTCTTCCTACCATCTCAGAGTTTGAAAGATGTCAAAGGTGTTCAGAGAATGTACTGAGGGCTTAGAGCTGCATTGCTTAAAAAGGAGCAGAGAGGTTATGTAAAGAGAAGGGAAAATCTAAAGTATCTGTGGAAGATACAGGATTTTAGTAACTGTCATTCCATCCTACCTTTACACTGTGGACTGAATCTTAAAG